AAGAGGTGGTGAGGGACAGCAAACAAATGGGCCGTGGAAGGGGATTTGCCAAAGCACTGTCAAAATGCCCAGGACTCTGACAGCTTACGGCAGACAAGAGTTGCCCAAAGTTAGTAAGGTCTCAGAGCAGCCTGTCAGTGCAACACTGATAAAGGAGTTGTATTCCTTGGTGGCCTCCCTGTTGTCCCCGCATGCTCTTCTGAGTGGCTTCACCATTGAGGACTGATTTATGGCACTTGGATTGGCCAGCAGTCCTGCACTGTGTGATGGCTGAGGCTGGGAACCAGTTTCACAGCCATGTCTGTCATCTACGAAGGAAATATCATTCTCAAAGTCAAAACCATTCAGGGCACATCGAGGGTACCCAGGGGAGTGCCTGGGACCGGTAATGAATCCAAACTCACTTTCAGGCTTGCTCCCATGACAAATGGTCTGGTGCAATGAAGAAGAGAAATGTGGATGGGCTACAGCCCCTTGTGCACATTCCAGTTAATTTCCCAGAAGCAAGCACAGTAACGCAGGTTCCGAGCACGGAGCTGTCTGGGGTGACAAATGAAGCAGTCATGGTTTTTGTGTATTTTGGTGGGGAGAGAATATGAGGTCTGATTTTCGGCCTCCCTCCCCCATAAGTGAGCAAGAGGAAGAGGGAACTGCCAGCTTCCCCTTTCAGAAGGCCCGCATTGCAAAGATGGGGGTTGACACTGTGAGAGGTGCTTAATATGTCAACACAATGATGCATAATGTGGCTGGAGAGGGAGGAGTAAATTGATAAAAGAAGTCTGGGCCATCCTGCTGTGTGGAACCCCCCTGCTGTGCTGAGCACAGGCAGCTAATACATTACAGAGCTTGATGGGGGAGTGGGGGGGTTGGCGTGCTGGGAGCAGGGGCAGGTTGGCAGAACAGCCGAGTCTCCAACGCTGTGAAAAAGTGATGCCGTTTTGCTTTTTCCCATCCATTTAAATCCATCTTTACCTCATTTTCCTATACCTTGGTCGAGGGTCTAGTTTCCAGTTGATTCATCACTTTGCAGATGATAAACTCCAGATACCAAATACTGAATGTATGTTGTAGCTGAGAATTGGAGAAGATGATGTATATAGCAAGAGTCTTAGAAAGCATATAAACATGATGGCCAATGGACCGTGTGTGTGTGTGTGTGTGTGTGTGTGTGTGTGTGTGTGTGTGACAACTGGGTTGTACAAATGCAGTGGAAAATAAATATTTGGGGAGAATACACAGGGCTGGACTGCCAGGCCACCATATTTCTTGGCTGCAAGAAATAGGCAACCCATCCAGATCTCGATAAGGCGTGCCAGGCAAGGACGGAGAAGCTGGTCCAAGGGTCCAAGGCTGTACCCAAGGGTCCAATGTCTTAATTAGGTTGAAACCAAAATGAAGGAACTTATGTTGGCATAGCAGTTATGGTAAGTCTGCCCATGTCTCCAAAACCAAACCAAACTCCTTGCCATCCCGTTGATTTGGATTCCTAGCGACCCTCTAGGAGCCCTGGTGACATAGTGAACTATGCATTAGGTTGCTAACTGCAAGGTCAGCGGTTAGCAACCACCAGCCGCTCCACAGGTGAAGGACAAGATTGTCTACTCCCTTCAAGAGTTACCGTCTGGGAAACACACAGGGGTAGTAGTTCTAGTCTGTCCCATAGGATTGTTCAAACTCACTGCCATCGTTTGGACGTCAACTCAGAGAGACCCTCCAGAAGAGGACAGAATTGTCCCTCTAACAGAACCCACATTCCACTACCATCTAGTCAATTATGACGCATCGTGACCCTATAAAGGGTTTCTAAGGCTGTAAAAATGTCCCCCTTGGCATGGTTGGTGGGTTTGAACCACTGACCTTGCATTCAGCAGTCCAATGGTGGCAGCGACAACGAGGCCAGACACTGCGCTAGAATTCCTTTCTCTGACTGCTCAATTCCCAACCCACCAATTTTGGACACAACACTGCCAGAATTTCCAGGCAATTTCCTGACCAATAGACTTGGATTTTCCAGTCCCCACAATCACGTGAGCCTACTCCTCAAAATCTTGCTCTTAATCACCTCCTTCTGTTAGTAGAGGCATGTATGTTGCTCAGATGCTGAATAGGTTTCAACTGAGTTTCCAGATCAAGGTTAAAAACAAAAGAAAGCAAAAACAAAAGAAAAGCGTGGTGAACACTTCAGCATATGAGTGGATGAAGTCCCTCAGAATCACCACAGCAGTCTGATCTACAAGCCATCATGGGGCGAGTTAGTGCAGGACCAGGGAGTGTTTCCTTCTCTTGTGCATCGGGCCTCCCTGATAGCAAATAAAACAACACACATACCTACCTCTTACTGGTTTCTGTTTCTTTAGACAGCCCTAAAATAGGTTTCACACTCTGATAGCCTTCCCAGGGGGTAGAAGGCTGGTCATTAAGGCTGGCTGATGGTAGTACTTGTGCTTAAATTAATAAGAGGCACTCAACTACCAATCAAACTAATTCTTAATGTTTTAACTAATGTTTCTTTATTTGTTTGCAATTAAGCTCAACTGCTGTAGTTACATAATCTGGTGTCAATTTGAGGATTAAGAGTGAAGAGGTTGAGTTTAGCCTGTCAATCAGTATATAGCCAATGAGGCCTCTGTGTGGGCATGGCCTTCTCCTGAGGATTCTGGGAACTCTTGTATTTCCTCGGAGACAGGAGACATTCTCTCAACTCACTCCCTGAGAGACACTCTACTGACAAGACACATGGCATTATGCTGATAGAGCCCATGCCCTGGGAGCTGGAGAAGCCATGTGGAGACCCCTGCCAGCACTGAGATACTTCTACCACCCCTGGATCCACAAGACTTTGCACCCACTGGCCTGTGATCTGCTTGCATTCAGCATCATTGTATGTATTTTGCGAGTCTAAAGAGGATTTTATAGATTGGAATCGGACATATGAGCAAATATCAGACTTATGGACTTGATCTGGACTGGGCTGGGATGTTTTCTCAATATTCAATTGCTCTTATATATAAGCTCTTTATTATACACATATGAGTGTCCATGAATTTGTTTATCTATTCTACCCGGACTAACACACCAACTCTAACCAAAAGCAAGTAACTTTATCTAAAGTAAAAATAATTTTATGCTCACCAATTCCTCTTCTAATATCAATTCAACACATAGATATTAAGCATGTCTCATTTATATATAAAACATGAGATATACATAAATCAAATAATTACCTCACCATGAGGTGATACTTGTTTATTTATTTTAAAAATAGTTTTACTGATATAAAATTCACAAGTCATAACTTCCATAGTTAAGTTCCTTTTAAACAGAGCTGTAGAGACATCATCAGAATAATTGCTAGTGCTCCCTTCCCACTCCCGCATTCATTATTTGTTTCCCAATTCCCTTTACCCTCCCCACCCCGTCCCAGTAAACCATTCCATTTATTATTGTCTCTGTGTAAGATGGTATTTAGAATGGTATGTGCAGATCATGTAATAAGTTACCCCATTAATAGATAAGTTTCCCTTTTTCATGGATAGGAGACCTAATCAGGGCCAATAACTCTTTTAAGGTCTCCGTGCCTGATGGTACCACTCTAGACCCTTTTCTTTATAATTACAACCTGAGTCTATTCAATTGCAGAAATGGAACTGAGTAAATCTATACATATTCAGCGTGGATTTTTTTCTCTTACAGAAAAAGGGCCCAATAAAGAATTGAAAAAAACATTTCTAAGTTTAAACAACTTGAAATTCCTAACTCTAGGAATTCAGACAACATAATAATCTACATTTAAGTTTCTAAAGTTAGTCTAGTAATGCCATGCCTGGTGGATAAAGTGAGAGTTGCCCTTGGGAGCGTGGCATCAGCTTAGGACAGAGAGGCAGGAGAACTCAAGGACTCACTGAGAACCTTAGGCTAGAACCAAGTGCAAGACTTACCTTTGTCCTCCTACGTAACAATGACCTACAATTCCTAGGGTTTTACAGATTAAGAAATGATGTGATGTTTATTTGCTTAATATGTATGGCAATTCTGCTTCTGGTAGAAAGTATTTCCATTTAAATAGATAGGGAAGTGGGCTCAACTACATTATCAATATTGATTACTAAGCACAGTGTTCTATAGTCTACAAAAAAACTCTTATACATATTATATTGCTCAGAGTCTTATAATATCCCTATGGTGTAGGTAAATATTTAGCTCTAATTGCATTTTAATAGTGGTGGTTCATAAACTTAATAAGTGGCACATCTGGGCCTTGGCAGTCTCCTGATGAACCCGTGGGGCTCCCTTTCCCCACTGTCATTTTGAATGGCAAAGCTGAGTTGGGGTGATGGTGGCAAGAGGTGGCTCCAGGGTGGGCCATTCATAGACACAGATGCTCTGTCTGTGTCCTATGCCAGATACAGGAGCAGCTCTAAGTTCATCATCTTGGTGCTGTGATGGAAAGAAGGTACAGAATCCTGGAAGTGGAATAAACCTTTGCATGGGCTAGTGGATGGAAGTTTCCCAAGTTTCAAAAGCTCTGAAGTAGGGCTATCTGATAAAATACAGAATTCCTATATGCCCTGTGCTTTACTGGGAATTTATAAGAAAGTGTTTGCTGTTGACATGAAATGGAATGGGCTGTCCTGTGCGTTCATTGGCTAAATCTGGCAACCCTCCTGTGAAGGTCAGTCTTCTTCTGTCTGTTGCTCTCAGGACTATGGCAACAAGTCAACAAGGGCAGCTTTGATTAGAGACAAGTTCAACAGAGATCATTTTCTTTTGCATCCTATAGTCACGTCTTGGATCTGAGCAGCCTAAAGTTGTTGCATTTGGAAGCTCATGTATCACACACACTGTGTTATCTAAGGCTGATTGCTGGCACAGCATGACCAGTGGGTTCCAGATGTCCCCCTGTGAATGCACCACTGCCCAGATGTCACTGGACCACACCTTGCACATCCAGCCCTGGCACCATGCTTATTCTGCCTTACTCTTCAAGCAGAGCCACTTACTTGTATGGGATGTGTTTGCTCCCATTGACGAGAGCCAGGATGACGTTGCCCAGAGCAGACAACGAGAGGCACAGCCCTGAGCCCCCTTCCCGATTCTTGCTCAGGGCTTTCACACAACTGCCAAGGTCAATGAGGTGCAAGCGGCTTCGTCCTCCAGACACTGCCACGAAGAGAGGAGAGAAGAGAAGAAAGAAGTGGTTAGATTCTGGCAAGTATTCATGTTCTCCATGCAGCTCCTTGGGAAATCTGAGGGGAAAAAAGAAATGGGGAAGTAAAAAGATAAAGTTCATGACCTAGTGGGAAACACCAACAAAATCATGTTGGGATGACAGATTAAGAGGAGTCCTCCTCTTCAATCCACCACCTTCTAAAAACTATTGTCATTCATACTTTAAGTACATGGATAACTCCTACAGTTCCAAGGAAGGAAATGTCTAATTTAAGAAAGATCAGATTTGTCCCTAAATGTTCTTTGGATTACAGACTCCTGAAATTGCTCCAGTTAAAACATCAGTGGCTCATGATTGATAATCTGCAGAGAGCCTGGCCTATATAGTTTAGCCAGGAACCCAGAAGATAACCCAGGGAAAATTCAGGAGGAAGCTGCGATCAGCTACAGAACTAAAAAAGAAGACCCTCACATTTGCCAAGTGCCACACAAACAATCTCATTCACTTCCTTTGACAAAATCATGAGCTAAATCCTGGTGTGCTTATTTTATAAAGCAGTACACAGAAATGCACTCGTGAGTTCTTCTGGTCTCGATGGAGAGACCAAACTTACCCTGTTAGTTGAAATATCCCAAAAGCAAACAAAATGTGGGAGATGATAGCTTATGAGACACAGAATATTAGGCAACTGTGGATATTGAGATTTGAGAGATAATTCAGCCGAATAATATACTTGTTTCTGCTATTTCCTTAAGAGAATTTCTGGACTGTGGTTCATAGAGAGGGAACCCTCGGGTGGGACTCCCTGAATGGTGAAGTTCGAGCCGTAAGTCCAGGACAGAGGACTGCAGAGCAGAGAGGTCTGGAGACCCACACAGGGGTGGGTGTGAGGGGCGGGGAAATTACTCTGGATAAAATACACTTGCTATCTTGATCATGGGATCAGCAGCATCAAATATGGGGCAACGAGCACAATGTGATCAACATAAAAGATGCCACTAAAGAAGTGCACAAGAGGTTTGTAATAAAAAACACGACACATATACTTTGCCAGCAACACAAAATACCACCGCAATTTGAGTGTATGGTAACAATATGTAGCCCTATAGGCATATATATGTATGGGTAAGTACAGCTATATACATATGTGTGCAAAAATAGAAGTATCTTGATGTATGCGTATGCATGCATATAGAGGACACAATTAGAGTTACTTCTAAGACACGAGTAAACATCTTGATTTTCTGTTTGGAGACTTAGGAGCTTAGTATTATGAGACAACCCGATTGACTGGCATAATATAGGTCACAAGTTTTCGTTCTGCATCCTAGTAGGGCGAGTAGTGACAAGAGTCTTAAAAGCTTGTAAGTGGACATCTAAGATACAATTATTATTCTCTGCTCATTACCAGCAAACGGGGAAGAAGAAAACCACATTTTAAAATAAGAAACTAGTCGACAAGGTCAAGAACCTACACAAGCCGCAGTTTCATCTAGCCTGAGACCACAAGAACTACATGTGCTCAATTAACATTACTGACCACTCTGATCAGGGACACAATAGGTGGACCTTGGTATAAAAAAACAGGAGCATGGAACAGAACTCAAACGAAGAAGTCCAGACTTACTGGACCAATGGAGTTCAAAGGTACCCTAAAACATCACCCTTATATACTCTTCGAACCTTGAACTTAAACTATCCAGAGGACACCTTGGCGTAAAATAAAGGATTGGCACACAAAATAAAGGATGTTACGCCTGAAAATAATGCTCCATTAAAATTTTTTTTAAAGCACACATATCTACAAGGGGGTACCCCCCACCCAAAACCAGGTTTTTTTCTCACCAAAGCTATGTAGTTAATTTTTTTTTCCACAAGGCAACCTTATCGCCTTCAAAGTACTCTCTATTACACTTAATACATTTGCCAAATCTGTGATTCCATTCTTGGAAATATTTTTCAAACTCATCTGTTTGGACTGCTTGAAACCTCCCTGATTTTTTTCACCTCTTCTATGTTGTCAAATCACTTTCCTTCATTCACGGAAACAAAAAGAAGTCACACATAGTGAGGTAGGTGAGTAAGGTACATGGGGCAAGAGAGGCATGCTGGTTTTTTGCCCAAAAAAGGAGCATTAGATGGATGCGTGAGCAGGTGCATTGCCATGGTGGCAAAACCGTCCCCCATCTTCCACAAATCAGGCCTTTTGTGGCACACTGTTAAGCTATCTTTTCAGAACCTTTAAATAGAAACCTTGATTAACATCTGACCTGGTGAAATGAACTCCAAATGCACTATGAGTCAACATTTTCACCCGTTCAGGAAGCTGATGGGTGTCCAGAACAAGGTTTGTCATCACTCAACATTTCACCTTTTTGGAAATGAGAAAACCACTCATACACTTGAGTTTTTCCTGTAGTGCTGTCCCTGTAAATTGTTTTCAACATCACAACAGTTTCTGCCGCATTACTCCCAAGCAGGAAACAAAATTTCACAGCCACACACTGTTCTCTTAAATCAGCCATCACAGAAAATGAGGTTCAAGTGAAACTGCTTTCATGAAAAAATTCACTGTGACCAGAGAGAACCTTCCTAGGTAATGCCACTGGGTGCACCAACTCAGTGTGAGTTGCTGGATGCTTGCCTAGTGGGGGAATTGGGGGGCAGAGTAGCCCAGAGCTATTCTGGTTTTGGGGGGGGTACAAAAGGAATGTGGGGCCCAAAGAAACAATTACTCTAAAGCAAAGATGAGATTATAAGGGGAGAGGCACTAAAGTACTTTAAATAGAAAAACCAGAATATAGTTTTAAAACATCATTAATAGCACTGAATAATTTGTAGAGATTGTCAAATAGAACATAATTTGATGTGCAAACTTCCATAGAAAACACAAAGTATTATTTTTAAAATGATAACCAGACATTAAAAGAAGCAGGAAAATAACACTGAAAATGAAGGGATAATTGGAACTAACCAAGAGGAGCTTCAAAAGCTTATGAGAAAATCCCAGGATCTTTTTTTCACCTTTATTGACATATAGGTGCCATCCCATACATTGCAATGATTTAAACACACGAAAAAGAGTTGTGCAGTTATCACCACAATCAATTTTGGGACCTTAACTTCATTCTTGTACTCACTATTATTAACGCCCCACTACCCCCAACCTTCCTGCAACAACCCCAAGAAACTATTCATCTAGCTACTCTCTATAGATTTATCTTGGGTTTCAAATAAAGAAAAACATACAATCTTCCCCACAATAATTACAAAATAAAATACACAATGACTTCAATAGAAAAGAAAGCAGAAAAAATTTGAATAAATTTAAGATGGGTCAAAAGGGAGAACAAGGGGCAATGTGTCAAATTTCCTAACTACATCAGCCTTAGTCCACTTTCCAATCACTTGGAGTGGGGTTCTTCTAGGCACTTAATTCAGGATTTTGGGCTTGCTGGCCCACAAAAGTGGAGCTGAGTGCCTTTAGGCTGAGGCTTACGTGAGTGGGGTGCCTCTGGGCCTTTGTTCGGGAAGTTGGGTTTGCTGACCCGCATGGCTTACATTGAATGCCTTTGGGCTGAGGTTGATAGCAGAGTGGTATGCCCTTCGAGTATTTGTTAGCAGACTTGACAGAACTTTGTAAAATAATGAACAACTGAGCCTTGAGCGTTTCTCATTACAACTTGTTAACTACTTCCTAATAAACCACTTAATCATGCATTTTGTCTGTGAATAGCTGTTGCAGTGAATATAAGATCCTAGAGATCAAATAGAGAACATTAATTAAGAGAGTGCAACACTTTGTCTGATAGCAAGGCTATTCACCTCCCTGGTCTATGGTCACTGGCCACTCGGGATTCTCCGGGGGCCACTGCCAGTGGATGTTGTGCTTTCACTCTTTTCCACAGCCTTCTGAAACTAGGTCCTTGGAATAGCATTCCCTCCTGTGTCTTTGGATTTTATTATTTACAACCCTTGGCTCACACAGGCTGTGTGCTTCTGTGGGTATTTAACTGGCACCTCACTTAGACGGTTGCTTGTTTTAAAACATGCCTTTTTGATCATAAACCCTAGACTTTATTTTCTGATAGCTTGGAACCATCTGATTTCTTCACCACACTTTGGGACAGCATTCATATCTTCAATGATCTCATCAGTGAGGGCAACTATTGAGTAGGGCCCTAACCTAAGAACTAATGATTCTTAGATTCCATTATATTTTAATTATACTTTTCCACAAACTTGTTGAAGCCCCTTCACATAATGAGGGTGTATCAGAAAACATTGCTGGCTTCAGTTCCTAGATGCCTGGTTTTATGTCAAACAAAGCGCGTTCAAACACGCCTCTGTGATCAATGAATGACTGCAGGCACGTTCTCTTGGTAGTACATTTGTCTTAGTCTCCTTAGCCTTCCCTTACAAAAATATTATTTTTTTGGTATTATGGGAAAAGATTATCCTAATGTCAGAGCTAATAATAATTTAAAAAATAAAACTCAAATCATTGAAGCTTAGCAGTAAGTTTATGAGAATGATATTCCATATAAAATAACCAGTTTTTAGATGATCAAATACTTTAATAAAGATTGATAAGACCTCAAAATAAGCCAGGAGAGGGGAAATCGTCAGCCTCAATGAATACAGAAATGATGGTTGAGGTGCAGAAGGTGGGAGAGGAAGACTGTAAAAGTACTGTTGATGAGTTAGCTACTGAAGTTGGGATTTCACCTGTTCGGGCTTTTTCAATTTTAAGTGAACTTCTTGGCCTCAGCATGTTTTCAGCTCAATGGTGCCAAAAGCAAGTTCATCAAAGGATGACAAAAGCTAATGAAGATGATTTCTTGGAATGAATTGTAAGTGGGAATGAGGCTTGGGTTTATGAACAGCACCCACAGCAAGGGATCAACTGGGCGAGTTATGTTCAAGGGGTCAGCTTAGAAGGTTAGGATGGCTGTTTTGGGGGATTCCCTTGGTGACGTCAGAGGAGGTC